GCGCCGCAGCTCCTCCTGCAGCAGAGCGTGCTGCCGCTGCAGGAGCGCTAGCTCGGTGGCCTGCTTGTCCGGCGCCGCGGGGGCGGGCCCGGCTCGGCCGGCCTCTCCGTCCCGAGAGTTGGCGCGGGCCAGCTTCTCCCGCCGCTCGGGGCCCTCGGGGAACCGCGCTTCCATCAGCGTGTCCTGCTGCGCCACGGCCGCCTGGGGGCGTAAGGGGCACCGACAGGTGCATCAGAACCCTGGCTCCCGGGGGCCCGGGTCAGGGCTCCCGGAGAGCTCCGGCGGGGAGAGGCCCCAAAGGCGCGTGAACAGGCAGCCCCGCTCTCTCCTCCCCTGCCCATTCTGGCGCCGGCCCCGCTGACCTGGAGGCCGTGCAGAAGTCCATAGAGATTGACCAATCGCTGTAACGCTTCCTGAGGACAGAGGAGAGGGTGGGGACAGGGCCCAAGCTTCAGGATGGGAGAGCTGCCCAGAAGGTGACCAAATGTGGGTTTGGGGACAGCAAGCCTCCAGACGCTCTCAGATGTCGACTCTCCCCGACACCACCCCACACCGGGCCCGATTTCTCAGCCACAACACCCTCCCTTTCAGTCGGCTACACCAGCGGGTTCCCACCTCACCTCCTGAGGGGCTCTCAGCTGATTTCCATTCCGGTCCTGCGGAGAGAGGCAAGGATGGGGGAGTCGCAGGCGCCCGTCCCCCACAGCTCTGTGTCAGGGGTCCACAGGCCAGCTGCCCCTTCCCGCCCTCTCGCGAGCCCTGCTACCTCTTGCAGACCCACCTTCTGGCTGGAGTCTGAGTCGGTTCTGCAGAGCTCAATCGAGCCATTGAAGGTTCTGGGCTCACCATCTGTGGAGAAGGGAAAGGACAGGCTGAGCTCACTTCCTCAGGGCCTGGCCCCTCCCTCCCACCCACCACCGTGGCCCCAGCCCAGGCACTCACTGGCAGTGACCCCGGGACTCGTGCTACCGCCATCCTGGTCCACGGGCAAGGCTGGTTCCCGGGGTGTCAGGAGCAGTTCTACTCCAGGCCCCACCAGGAGGTCTTTCAGACCCTCCACTACGGGGAAGGGGGGGAGGTAAGCCCAGGAGCCACAAGGAACCCTGCAGGGAACGGCAGGGCGCCTTCCACCCAAGGCACGCGTAACAGTCAGGCGCCCAGGGGCCCTCACTCATACCACCCCCCACAGGGCAGAGGTCACCGAAGGGCGCCGAAGGGGCAGCACAAACGTATGCAGAACAAGGCGTCAAACAGTAGCAAGGACTGTGCCTCCCCCGCCCCCCCCCACCTTCCCCACACCTGGCGCCCCAGGGAGTGTATGGACACTGGGGCTGTGTGTGTCCACGTGTAGTCACGTGTCCCTATTCTGTGAGGCCAAGTGGATGGCCCTGGACTTCTCCCTCGGGGCTCCCTCACCCTCACGGATGGCATCCTGCAGCAGCCGCTCGCCACGGGGGGACTCCAGGGACTCGGAGCGGAAAAGGCCCCTGGGTAGGGCGGGCAGGGTCAACCCACCACCATCCTCCTCCACCTGGAAATGGGTCATCTCGGCGAACAGCCCGACCTTCTCCTGCAGCAGCTCAACCAGGGCCTGGTCTTTCTGTTGCAGCTCCACTGTGGATACGGAACAGGTGAGCACACGGTGGGGGGGGGGGGGGAGGCAGGGCGGTGTTATGGGGGGGGCGCAGCCAGAGAGCCGTGCTGGAAGGGTGGCCCAAGGGCCTGGCGGCCACGGCTACACTCATCATAATACTTAATTCTGGATTTCTGGCATTTACAAAAAAGAAAACACTTTTTTTGGGAAAAGTAATACATGAACTTTCTTTTTTTTTAAGTAGGCTCCATGCCCAACATGGGGCTCAAACGCATGACCCCGAGATCAAGAGTCACAGGCTCTACTCACGGAGCCAGCCAGGCGCCCCTGGACTTTTATTTTAAAAGCAAAACTAACATGATCTGTGGCCAGAACTGCAGATGCCCACCACTTTCATTCTCCCATCTTCCTTTAATTGGAGAGTCCATACAAATTTCATCTGGGCATGTGGCTGCCCAATTAAACCTGACCTGCAGCCAGACATTGCCATGGGACTAAACTGTGGTCAACGGACATGACTGTCTCTCCGGATTGGCCCTTTAAAGAAAAGGGTATAGAGGCACCTGGCTGGCTCAGTCAGTGGAGCGTGTGACTCTTGATCTTGGGGTTGTGAGTTTGAGCCCCACCTTGGGTGTACAGACTACTTAAAAATAAAATCTTAAGGGGCACCTTGTGGGCTTAGTCAATAGAGCATGCGACCCTTGATCTCAGAGTCATGAGTCCAGGCCCCACATGTAATATGTTTTATATTTATATATATAAAATATAAATTTTATATATATAAATAAAATAAAATACAATCTTTAAAAAAGAAAAAAAAAGGGTATAAACTCTCCCTGTTCCCTTCCACCTCCCTGCTAGCTGGGATGCAGATGTGATAGCAGGAGCTAGAGTAGCCACTTTGGACAGGGAGGTGGGGAATCTTTATGATGAAGATGGCAGAGGCGTACCGACTACCCTGTACTTCCCACTTGTGGACTATAGAGAAACGATCTTCTACCTTGTTTAAGAAACTGATTTTTGTTGGTCTTTTTGTATAGCAGTTAGTTCATACTCTAATAAAAGTAAAAAAAGTAGATTAATGTCTCAACCCTGGTCTTCCCAGCTCTCCTTCTAGAGACACTACACACACACACACACCTACCACATGTGACACATACCCTATCCCCATTATTTTTACACCAGAGGTAGCACACACCCTCTGTTGTGTTAAACCTTGCTCTTTTTTCTTCACAGTACATTCTGGTTATGGGTCTGCATCAGCCCTCCCCAGCATTGGCACATTTCAACCAGTTCCATCGTATTCCATCGTATTCCATCACGGGGATGTATTATAAATCACTTAAAGAGCTCTGTGGGTGGACTCACTCTTGATTCGGCGCAGGTAAGCCTCGTGCTCTGTCTCAATCAGGGGGAAGTCCTCTCTGGATGGGCACCTAGAGAGGTCACAGGTTGCGTGGGGTTGAGAGATCAGGAATCAGCCTCCTTCCTGAACATGCTCGGTGCCTCCCTGTAAGACTCACCAGCCCCAAGCCCTGGCTTCACTCACTCCCGACCCCCTGCTTTGCTTCACACCCATCATCCGAATTTCCCGGTGCGTGTGCCTCTCCATGGGCCACCTGCGGGGGTCGCATCGCAAGGACGGTCACTACCCCCTCGGCGCGAAGCAACCTGGGCCCAGATCCAGGCCCCACTATTCACCCGGTGGTAGCCCTCTACTTCTCATCTGAAAAATGGGTATGATGTCATTCTTCCTCACTGGCTTTTTTTTTGTCAGAATTAAATGAAAAAACATAACAATGCTTTGAACATGGCAGAAGCTTGATACATCGATTACAGAGTATTGATTATAATTTTCACAATGACAGACATTAATACTGTTAACAGAGAGGCCCCCATGGATCTACTGCCAATAGGACAAGTACTTGGCCCGGTTTTCCTAGAACAGGCAAGGTCATACTTTGGCACGCATTTCTGAAAAATTTGTTCCAAAGTCTAAACTGCAGAAGTAAAAAAAAAAAAGTTTACATGTTACAAAGTGGAGAAAATCCATTTCTAAAAGATAAAAAAATTGACAAATATCCTGATTGCGTTTCTTTTTTTTTGGCATAATCTTCAAGAATCCGTTTTGAACGCTCTACATGCATTTTCCTTTTTTCATCAAAAGAGACACACAGTCGAGGGCCTCAAATCCTACATACATCCCCCAGAAGCTCGAGGTTGGCTGCCTTATTAGCATACGGAACGGTTTCCTTCTTGCCTCGACCATGGGGGTTTCACTCTAGTTTTAATGACTTCATTCCCTTGTTCATTTGTTTTTAGAAAATAACGGTAAAATGCAATATGATCCAAGTAACTGCCCCACTGCCTACAGCCCGAGGTGTTCCTGCCCATGAGAGTGCCCTGCTGGTCGGCAGGCGAGCCACCATGGGACGGCTCCAAGCGTCCCTTTGCTTGCCAGCTCACGCTCCTGAGAGGTGCTCGGGGTTGTCGCGGCATGAAACACACAGGATATGCCGGCCCAGATGACCTCTCCCGCCCCGGGCCACCGTGCTCCTCCCCCAGCCCCTGCCTCCCCCTCTGAGCCCTGGGTTCTTTCCCCAGGGAGTGCTGTGGCCTGGGGCCCTAAGCTGCAGGATCCCGGAGGCCATGCACACTCACACGCGCACGCTCTGCTGAATGACTCGGATCCAGGTGCTCCGGTCATCCCGGGATGCCGTGTGGACCTCATACATCTCAGGGGGTGTGGCGCTGATCAGAAACATCCCTTTCTCCTGGTTGGCGATGTCTCGCACAATTAGATTCTGCAGTGATACCACCGAGGGCTTGTCCTGCAGGTCAGAAAGGAGAGACTCAGCCTGGGAGCCCTGACCTGGGGTATCTGGGTTTTCGGTCTTTCTGCAGTGCCCGAAGGACTGAAGAGACTACCTGCAATATAAATTTAGAGCCCCAGCACTGGTGCGGCCAGAGGGCACTTGGGAGCACATGTGACCGGCAAGTTAACTGACATTAAGGTTTATCAGGGCGCCCAGCTGGCTCGGGCGGGAGAGCGTGCGACTCTTGATCTCAGGGTTGTGGGTTCAAGCTCCACGTTGGGGGTAGAGATTACTAAGAAAATAAATAAACTTAGGGGCGCCTAGGTGGCTCAATCGGCTAAGCGTCTGCCTTCGGCTCAGGTCATGGTCCCGGGGTCCTGGGATCGAGCCCCGCATCGGGCTCCCGGCTCGGCGGGGGGTCTGCTTCTCCCTCTGCCGCTCCCCTGCTCATGCTCTCTCTCTCTCTCAAATGAACAAGTCTTTAATAACAATAATAATAATAAATAAATATACTTTAAAAAACACACACATTAAAACAAAACCTTTAAGGTTCACTTTCCTCATCGACAAACGGGATCACAGGGGGCCCACGTCGGCGTGGAAGTGCCTGCACACAGCGTTAGCTGTTTCTATTCCTCCCAATATTGTAGCAACGGTTATGCTCATCGCCACTTGGCTCTGGGGGGTTCTCGGGTTCTTTGTGGCGTGGGCAGAAAAGCAAGCAGAGCCCGCGACACTTGTCTGTGCTGAGACAGGAGGAGGAAAATCTCACCAGGGCGGGAAAGATGTACTTCTGGTCCTTCTCCTGCAGAAACAGCAGCACGTCTGTCATCAGCAGCATCAGGACGTCTGGCGGGAGAGTGGCCAGCATCAGAGGCCTGCGCAGCCGCCTGCCTCGTTCTCGCGGGCCAGGCCTGACGACTCTGTCCCCGGCCTCTCTTCCCTCTGGCTGCTTCCTCCTCCGTTTGCAGCCGCCCACCTGCCCGTTCCTTCAGCTCAGAAATGCCAGGGGGAGAGGGGCCTGTGCGCACATCAAACAGCTTCTCGGCTGGAGAAGACTGGAGGGGGTCGCCGGTGCATCCGAGGAAAACCCTCTTCGCCCAGCTGAGGCCGCTTCTTAACCGGGGGACCACAGACCCCAAGCGTGTCCACTGCTGGGTCTCGGGCGCTCTGCAGCCTCCCAAAGTTGCATAATTTTACGTAGTAACATAACACGCACATGTATTTTTCCCGGTGAAAGGGTCCACAATTTTTGTGAGAGTAAAAAGCGTTCCCAGAGCAGGAGGGGCCGCCCTTTAAATGCCATGCCTCGCAGCTGACAGAAGGGCTTTCCGGCGACCTGACCTGAAAGCCCCTGCCCGCACCTCCCGGTGCTCAGGAGGCAGGGGACAGTCAGGCTTCACAGCCATCCCTCCCACAGCTGAATAATCCCACCCCTCCTCGACCCCAGAGGCCTCCTTCACCGTCCTTCTCTGCCCCACCTTCCAGCCGCAATGCTCCTGAGTCCCGCACTTTAACACTGGGGGGGGACACGGACAAAAGGTCAAGTCCCTAAAACCCAGAGGTCACAGTCAAGAAAACACATGCTCACCCTTTGACCTTGGAGATCTTACTAAACTGTGGGTACACAGAGGGGAGGGTTTTTGCTAAATGCTTCAGAAATAAAGCTCTCCAGCCTTGCTATTTTTAACCCCCACGGTTTATATTCTTAGCTGCTGCGTGGGAGGGATGGGAAAGAGAGAAAGGGATGAAGGAAGGCGCCGGTAAAGCGCTGCCATCCCCCAGCCCATGGAGGGGGTTTTCATGACATGGGACGGCGGGCTCAGGCAGCCTCAGGCCTGGGGAGCAGTTTCACTCTGGCCCTCATTCCTCACTCCCAAAGCCGAGGCCTGCTACTCTCTTGGCCTTGCTTTAGGTAGGAAAGACATGGCCAGTGTGATCTGGGGAGAGAGGCCGGGAAAGTGGGCCCCCCGCCCTGGTCCCCTCTGCTCTTTTCTCTCTTCTCCATCCTGCCTGTCCTTCGCCGGCTCAGTTCCCTGCCCTGGGCCTTCCTGGCTGTCTTCCCGAAGCCCACTCTGCAGCCCTGCGAGCTGCCCCACTCTAGTCCCCTGGTCCTGGAGTTTCTCTGTCTTCCTCATCAAACTCGTAGCTCTCTGGGCACGCAAGGACTCATCCTGACAGGGAAGCCCTGTGTGGCCCATGCAGTGAAATACAGAATTCGGACTTTGCTGCAACAGAGAGCTGCACTTCCCTGCCCCTGGGCCCCAGATGTCGGGCTGCAGAGAGAGGGCCCACAGGATGGATGCCCCTCCCTCTCTACATCTGGCGCTGGGCTCCCGCCTGGCCCGCCACACTGACCGCTGACCTTTGAAGCGGCCAGTTGCTGTCTTCCAGAGCAGGCAACCATCGTGGATAAGCTTGCGCCGCAGAAGCTCCTCTCGGCCGAACGGGCCCTTGCCAGGCACCGGGGCCTGGGCCCGAGGGTCCATACGGTGGTAGATCTCCTGCAGGCGGGCTCCCTTCTCCAGCTCGTGCACATCCTGGTCCACGTTGGACAGCAGCTCCTTCACCAGCCCCAGTGCCGTGGTCAGGTCCTGGCGCTCCTCCTCCGTCCCTGTGCCGAGGGCCAGCATGAGGCCCAGCTAGTCCGCTTCCATCCCGCCCCAGTTCCCACGGTGTCCGGATCCCACGTCAGAGGTGGCCCCGGGCTCCATGGCTGACCCTGTCCTTTCCCTGGGTCACCTTTCCTCACCCCAGAGAGCCCTCCCCGCACAGCCGTGCCCGGCCGGCTCCCTCACCGTGGGAGTGCTGCAGGATCCGGGTGATGAGCACCGGGTACTTGGTGATGCGCTGGGTCACCAGCAGGATGCACTCTTGTACCCCATGCCTCTTGAGCACGGCCGAGCGGGTCACCTTCTACAGGGGCAGAGGTGGGGCTCAGGGCCAGCGTGGGGCCGGGGGCGGGGTGCACGGCAAGGAACACGGCCCTTGGCGCCTAAGCTCTGGAGACGGCCCTAACGTGGCTGCTGACCTCCCGCTGGCTTGGGTGACCGCATCTGGAAATGGGAAGCACTGTGCCCCGGGTTTACTGCGAGGACCAACCAGACAAAGAAGTGAACAGGGATTATGGCTCGCTCGCAGGGGTTATTGTTGACAAGTGCCACAGGGGTTGGTGGGAACCTGGCCTTCTGGTGGCGGCAGCCGCCACGCCCCCCAAGAAAGAGGAGGCGGGGTTTGGGCCACTAGGGGTGGCTCCGGGCGCGAGCCCTGCAGAGGTCCACTCACCCGGATGAACTGCTGAAACCTTTTGTCGCGGGCATACAGCTCCTTATAAAGCTTTAAGGCCTTGGTGTGGCGGCTGCAGAACTCCGAGTAGGTCTTACGCATCTGCTCCGCACTGGGACCTGAGAACTAGCAGTCGGGGTGCCGGGCTGGGTCAGCATGTCCCTCAAAGCCACACCCTACCCCCGGGACGCCCTCCGGCCTCCTGCCTCACCAGCTCCCGCCTCCGCCCCCAGACTCCGATCACACCTTTGCCCTTGGGTCCGGCCTCACCTGGGTGATGAGCAGGTCACCCAAGCGATGGATGACGAAGTTGCGGGTGCTTCCAGGGCACAGGGCCTGGCGTCGGCGCTCTAGCAGCTGGCTGAGGAAGCGCGTGTGGATGTCACTGAGCTCATCCGCGCAAGGGAACAGCCCCTGCACCAGCCCCGGCTCGAGCTGCAGCTCTTCCAGCATCCCCGTGCGGAAGAGGCGGGTCATGATCTTCAGCGTCCGCACGTGGCGCAGCTCCGTCTGGATGAGTTCTGTGGGGCGACAGCTCGTTGGACCCGACTGTGGCTTGGCCACACTGGTCGGCTCGGCGGGGGCCTCAGGGCTTGTGGGAGGTTCCTAAGGTCCCTTCCAGGGTGACATTCTGCATTGGTATGGTCTTAGATGATTCTTTAATCATGTTTTCTCTTTACGCTCTGCCATCGCAGGCTGTAAGCTGTTTGCGGCAAGAACCACGTGTCCCCTCACGTCCAGACTTCCCACATGGTGCCAGGCGTGGAAGAGGCCGGGAGCAAAGGCGGAGAGCCAACTTGAAGGAAGGGGTAAAGACGGGGCCTGGGAGACCAAGAGCCCCAAAAGGCGGGGGGCCTTATGGCAACTCGTGGGCTGGAGGCAGGGGTCTTGGAGGGGGGAGCCCTGGCTGGAGGAAGGTCACAGACAACTGGCCCTGGCTAGCAAGAGCAGCATGGGTGGTCTTGGCTCACCGTAGATGACATCCTGCTGCTTCATCACCTCCTTCTTCTGCTGCTGCAGGAAGCTGCTGTCCACGGCCAAGCTCCACGAGTCGGCTGCGAAGTCCCTCTCGTCTGTCTCAAAGTCACTCATCAGCTCGCTGTAGAACACCTCTGCACCTGGACGTCAGCAGGGCCCACGGCTGAGCCCGACTCTGCTCACTGGGTCCCGCCCCGCCCCTCGCAGGCCTCCCCGGGCTGGCCGTCACCTTCATCCATGAGGGACTCCACGGACAGGGCCCGGTTCCGCATGTTGAGGGAGTCTGTGGACTGGGACAGGATTCGGCGCAGCCCCAGGGGGGACTCGTCACTGAAGTGTCTGAGGGAAGAGAGCCTGTGTCACCCCAATGCGGGGGACAGACCCCTCCCCAGATGGGGAACCGAGGCTGGGGTCTGAGGGGCACGCACCCTGAGTCCTCCTTCCCTGTCGATGGTTCTGAGCTCAGGGACGGGAACAACCCCCCAGGCCTCCTGGTCCCCACTGCCTGCCCCCCTGGCTGTCCCTTCCCCAAGCAGAGGCTCACCCAGCGATGTTGGTGGTGGAGACACTCTTGGCTAGCGACAAGGAGGAGCGGCCGCGGCGGGAACCTAGTAGGGACTGCCGGAAGCTGTCGGAGGGGTAGATGGCAGAGCTTGGCCGCTCCCGGGGGGTGGCTGGAGGGGGGACAGCGAGCAGGCAAACGTCAACGCTGCTGCTTCCCGCGATCCAGGCCTCCCAGGCTCGTGGACTGGAAATGAGGCCTCCTCTGCCACCCCCCCCCGCCGGGCCGCTAGTCGAGGAAAGGTCACGGTAGCGCCACCTCGCACTCGTGCGCTTCTTCTAACGCGCTCCTGTCTCATCTTGTCCCCGAAACAAGCCTACGAGCACACTGAAGCTCAGAAAGTTAGGGGACGCGTCCAGGGTGACTCAGCTGGTGGCGGAGGAGGGACTCAGACTCTGCTCATTGTGCAGCACCAGTCAGTAGTGTGCGCGCTCCGGCGGCCGGCCAACCCTAGCCTCGCCCCCGCGGGAACTCTGCCCTGCCCCCGGAGAGGCTGGACATCCCTGAGGGGCCACCATGCACTTCCAACCGAGGGGGGAGGGTGCCGTGCGGGGAACGACCTGCGGGGGGCAGCAGAGCCCGCAGGCTGAGAGGCCCGGGGTCCCAGCCGGGTCTCCTGCGCGCCCCCGCGACTCACTCTTACTGCGGAGGGAAACGGACTGCAGGGCGGTGTTGTTCTTCAGCAGGGCGGCTTTCTGCTGCTGTGGGATGGAGCAAAAGAGACACCAGGGACAGTTGTCGCGCATGGTCTCCTCCCATGGGCTGGGGCAGGAGCTGGGCGGCCGGCCCCTCGGGAGAGAGCCGGCACCGTGGCCACGGGCATGAGGGTGGCCGAGCCCAGCGCCAGGGGATGTGTCCGGAGCAGCGGGCCGGCCGCGGGCCCGAGGCCTGGGGTGCAGGGTGTGGGCCCGCACAGTGAGGCACGCGGGTGAGGGTGAACGGCAGGGTCACCGCCCGGTCCCCAGCCCGCCGCCCGCCGCCTCACCTTCTGCTTGACCTTGGTGCAGTTGGCCAGCGTGTCTTTACAGCGGTTGTGGATGGTCACGTTGCAGGCTGGGAGGGCGGGGGAGAGAGGGTGAGGGGGGCCGGGCGGCACAGGACGGGGCATACCCACGTGCACACACCCGTCTGCCCCCGGCCACGCCATCTGGGACGCCCCTCTCCCCGGCCCTCCCCACGCCTCCTCCTCCCCCTTCCTTCCAGCAGGAAATCAGGCGAGGGGCAGAGGAGGCCATCCTGACTCATGGGTGACCTGAGGGGTGGCCCGGAGGGAAGAAGGGGTTCCTGGCTGCCAGAGACGAGCTCAAGGAGCACAGGGGTGGTTGAGAGTGACAGATGGAAGAGGACGCCCACGGGACAGAAGCAGGCGCAGAGCAGCTGGGGTGGGGGCCAGGGGCAGGGGGGCGGTTTGCACCCCCGGAGCACCTAGCACGTGGCCCACAGTTACTTGATCCTGACAACCCTTTGGGGGTCGATTCAAGGATCTTCATTCTACAGATGAGGGGCCCGCCGCCTGGAGAGCTCAGACAGCCCCCAGCCCCCCCACCAGAGGCCAGGCAGCTAGTGGTGCAGCCGGGACTGAAACCCCGGCATGGCTGCGTCTGGAGGCCAGACCCTTGTTGCTGGGCCACACGTGCGCCCACGAACTGTGGCCAGGCCTAAGCAATTCAAAGGCTGCTGGACCCGGCGCTGGAGCAGGGACAGACCCTGCCCCGTCCTTCCCCAGAGCCTCCTGGCCTTCCCCGCGGCTCGGCTCTGACCCCTACCTTCCCCCCGTTCCAGGCCTGGGGCAAACCCACAGCCCCCACACTCTGTCCACCATGGGGTAGGAGAGGAGGAGTGGCCAGGCCTTGGCAGTGGGGCGGCTGGCTGTCCCTGTCCCCAACGTGCCTCGCCCTCTCCCTCTCCTGCTCCCTCCGCCGCGTGCAACAACAGGAAACCCTGCGACTCCTGCAGACAATACCCAGCACAGGCTCACTTCCACAAATACAAGGCGGGCAGGGTGGGGTGAAGGGGAGGACTGGAGGGGGCTGGGGCTGCCCCACTCCCCTAGAGCTCCCTTCTTCTACCCCCAGCGCTTTCCACCTGCTCTCAAAATAGCGCTTGCCGCCTGCCTCCCCGGTTCCCCTGGCAACAAGCTTCCCGCTGGGGAGCTCTGTCAGGTCTTGGGGGATCCAGCCTGGGGTTCCCTCTTCATCCTCCTAACTCTGAGATGGGTCGTGAAGAAGCAGGGACACCTCCCTGGCTCTCCAGCTGCGCAGGGACCGAGAGCCGGAGCACCGGTCGCAGACCTCAGGGGGCCACAGACTGGGGGGCAGGGGCCTTCTGTGCGGGCAGGCCGGCATCCTAGGGAAGGAAGACTGCCCTGCTCAGACTCCTAAATACGGGGCTGCCCTCCGAGGTAGGCGAAGGTCAGGAGCTCCGACCGCTAACCCCCAACGCATACATTCCTGCTGTTCTCCCTCTTTCTCACGGTCTGTCTGTCACACTGGGAATCTGAGACAGAGGGTCCTAATCCCATCCTCTACTCCAAACTGCAGAGACAAGCATTTCAGGCTCCACCCAGTCAAGAGAAAGGGAGGGGCAAGGGGACCCTCGAGTCCTGACCTTCCAGTTCTGCCCAGGAAGACAGGCAGAACCAGGTGCAAGGCCGCGGCCGGCCACCGCCCCCCCTCCACCAGCAGGACATTCCTGATCCTTCTCCAAGCAGTTCCCCTAACCCTCAGCAGCTGCTCCGGAGCCGGGGGACACCCAGCGGACAACAGCTGCAAGGGGTGCCACCCCAGCCCCCCCTCCCCTGACTCCCCTACAGCCTTGCTGTGCCCCATGGAGGGAGGAAAGGGAGCGAAGGATCAAGCATCTGGCCCGGGGCCCTGCTGGGGCTCCAAGAGAGTGACCCTATGGATCCAGGGCAGAAAGGACAGATGGCAAGGTTAGGGTCAGTGGGCACCGAGTCAGAGTGACATTCAGGATCCACACAACCTACTTGGGCAGATGAGGGCCTCCTTGGCCGTGATGCTCTTGTTACAGGCATAGCACATGGTCATGCCCGAGACGGAGATGGTGGTGAAGAGGTGCCCGTTGGTATAGCGGGCATCCTTGGCTTCCTTCATCTTCTCCTTTTCCCGGGTCTGTGGAAGGGGTGGGAGAGACAGGAAGTGAGGCTGAAGATGCCAGGTGCCCGGGGTGTCCAGAGACAGGCGGAGGGCAGAGGCCAGGGGGTGATGCCGGAAAGACACCCCTTCCCAAAGAAGGGCCTGCCGCAGGGTGTCAGAGGCAGCTGTCCGAGGGGGCCCGGGCCGGCCCCTGACCTACCTGGCCCCGGCGGCTAGGCTGCCTCCTGTGGGCACTCATCTCCCCGGCTCTAGCCCGGCGTCCTCCCTGCACCTCCCAGCCCTGCTCTGCTCGCCCCCAGGCTGCTGTACGCTCTCCTCGGAGCTGGGGGAAGATGCGCAGAGAGGAGGGGGAGCGGGCGAGGCAGAGGGTGCCAGCTCACCAGCGCTTTCAGATCTAGGGGAGTTAGCTGCTCTTATAACCATGACAACGAGTGTTGGAGCCGGGCTCCGCAGTCACAGTGGGGGGGCCAGAGAGCCCCTCAGTAGACCGGCTGGAGGCCGGAATGCCTCTGTTGCCACCCCCAACCCAGGGGTCAGGATCCCAAACCACCAGGGACCCTATGGGAGGCTGGACCTGGCTTTGGTCTCTCCGAGGAAGGAAACTCAGCCCACGGGTCTCCTTCCGGCAGGAAGTCTGACTTGTATTCCTCATGCTACCCTCAGAAACCCGGGTGAGCTCCCACTCCTCCCGCTCACCCGGCTCCCATCCCGAGTCCTTTCTGGCCTCTACCCTCTGTCCTCCGGCTGCAGCACCCTTCTTTGGGCTCCAGCCTCCAGCAAGAGGGGGCAGAGTACCCCAGAACCTCAGAGGCTGGGGGTCCCCATCCCTGCCGCCCCGGCAGCTAGCTGTGGGTCAAGTCATTTCCCCCCCTCTTCTCTGTCCCCCAAGAGCCTGAGAGGGCGTGGGATGCCCTTCTTCCCACCTACTCCAGGACCTTCCTCGGCGGTCACCTCAGACCCTTGACGTCCCCCCAGAGAGGGTAACCAACAGGACAGGGCTGGCAAGAACACTCCCCACCCCCTGGACTTCCGAGCTTCCCAGGAACAGAGCGGGATCCAGACTGCTGATGCGGAGAGCAGGAGCCCCAGGGTGGGGGACACTGGCTGGGGCCCTGGGGAGAGCCCTCGGCCTGGGCCTGACTTGGCTCCCCCACACGAGCAGCTGAGAGGCTGGTGGGGAAAACCACACTGGGCTGGTGCTAGGCGGGCACTCTGTGCTCCCGGCAGAAAAGGGAAGTATGCAGAAGCTGAGTCAACAGTGTGGGGGCCAGAGGGCACTGGGCCACAGTGCCCTGAGGTCTCTGGGCGGGGAGGGGGGGGCGCGGGGTGGGGGAGGTCCTCTCTCCCCTGGCTCCAGGCAGAAGCTCAGAAGCTCCAGCTTTGTCTGCTGATAAGCAAAGCCTGGAGGTCTTAGGGTCTTTCCCCACTTCCATCCCCTACTTCTCCCCTCTCCTCCTCCTCTTTTTTTTTTTTTTTTTTTTAAAGATTTTATTTATTTTTTTGACAGAGAGAGACACAGCGAGAGAGGGAACACAAGCAGGGGGAATGGGAGAGGGAGAAGCAGGCTTCCCGCCGAGCAGGGAGCCCAATGTGGGGCTCGATCCCAGGACCCTGGGATCATGACCTGAGCCAAAGGCAGGCGCTTAACGACTGAGCCACCCAGGCGCCCCTCTCTTCCTATTTCCTAGTCTCCTCCCCTCCCCTCTGCCTTCCCCTTCTCACCTCCTCCCCCAGTGGCTTCCCTTACTGCCCATGGCCTCTCCCTCCTGACCTCCCCCCCTACAGCCCACTCCCTCCTCCCCGCCCAGGCCTGGTTAGGGAAGCCCAGCCTTCCAGCCCCAGCCTCCAGTGTTCCAGGCCTCCTTCCTTCTACTCTGGTACCTACCTATCTGGCCACTAGAAAATTCTCCCTTTGGTCTAATTTCCATCTGTCTTGTTCCAAATTATAGCTCCTTAGAAGATCAAATCCCCTTCTGAATGACGGGGGACCTCAATGACCAGGTCCCAAGGTCTCTCCTCACTGCCACAGCCCCTCTCTCCTGTCCTGCACTCCCAGCCTTCTCTAGGACGCAAATAACTCGGAGCTCTCACTATGCTTGCATTGGAAGCATCGGACCAGCCAACATGGAAGAGAACACGTCTGGGTCAGGGTGAACTCCAGAAGGGAGGGGCTGAAGATCGGCCCTAGCTGCTCCAAGTCCCCCCTCCCTCCGCCCTCGGGTCTCTGCCCTCCAGGCCCTCGGCCTCCTGGAGACTCACCTGGGAAAGAGGTGGGAGGAGGAGGGAGGGCGGGAGCAGCCAGAGCAAGAGTGTCTCGGGCCCTTCCCTCCCTGGTGTCGATGGCCCACAGAAGACCGCGGGGCTCTGGGCCCAGTCTCCCCTGCTCCCCACACTCAGCCTCTCGCTGAGGGACCCCCCCGCAGCCGCAGCAGCAGCACGCCCCCCCTCGGTCACTGCCCAGCAGCCACGGCCCTGGCACTGCCTAGCGCTATTGTCCCCGCGCAGTCTGTGCCGGCCCCAGTGCCCGGCCGGGAGGATGGATGGACGCAGGACCGGCCACGGGGGCGGGGTGGGGGGGCTGCTCCCGAGATGCAGTGAATGGGCTTTGCTTGGTTCTGTCCTACTGTCTTCCAGGCATTCTTAAGATGGTCCCGCTGGTCTCCTACGTACCTGCCCACCTGCAGGACAGCACTTCTCCATGCCCCAAACCCCGCAGCGAGACACGGGCCTGATGCCCAATCCACACCAGCCACCCCCACCACTCTGAAGCCCTTCCTGCCCAGTTCAGTCCTGTCCTGCCCAGCCAGCGTCCAGACACTCCTGCTCACAGGGCCTCACGGAAGCTTCTCCAGCTGTATCAGGAAGCGGTGAGGAGGGCGTTCAAAAGCACCTGGCTCGGCAGCCCATACAACAGGCAGTCGGCGTGCTCTTGGAAGGGAAGGCAGGACGGGTGGAGGACGGACGAGGGACACAGGGTCCCAGCAGCACCCTCACCCTGCGCCATTAAAACCCCGTCTCCCCATCTCACTCCTCCTCTGCTTTCTATGAGCTTAGGCCCTGGAGGGTTTCCTCCGGAGGCCAGAAGACGCCAACCCAAGCCTTCCCTCCATTGTCCTTCTAGATCTTGGTCACTTTGGGGAAAGAAATTCGGGTGAAGGGCAGAGGGCACTGTAGCTGGCGGCCCAAAAGCTCCGGGGCAGAGGCAGTCTGCCCCCTAATCGGCACCTTGCCTCCCATGTGAGAAACATGGAGAAGGTAATGCCAAAGCCTGGCTTCCTGGGCTCCCCGGCGGGCAGCAGGGATGGCAGAGCCCCCCCAGGAGGGCCAGTGCCAGTCCCTGCAAGGCCCAAGCGCTCAGCAGTACCTGCTCCTCCTCAGGGACGTCCACACCAAGACCGCGGGGGAGTCACGAGGTGCTCAGAATCACCTCTGCTCCCGCCGAAACTCGCAGCAGCCCCTTCCCCAAGATGCTGAGGCCTCTGCCCGGTGACCAGAGGGCCCCCGAGGGTCCCACTGGGGTTGCACTGGGATTCAAGTCACCTGCGGCTCAGCCCCTGACCAGCAGGGGTGCAGTCATAGGCTGCGAAGGGCCCTGAGTTCTGGGGATGAGCTTTGGGCTGGGAACTGGGGGGGGACAGTGGGTCCCTGGCCACGGGACTGAGAAGAGGGCTTGGGATGGCCTCAGCCAGGCTCTGTTCCTGCATCAGCTTCCAGGGACAAGATGAAGGCAGCAGGCCAAGGAGAAGGTGGCCAAACGGAAACGCTAGCGCCAAAGCCAGAAACATAACACAAAAAGCCACCACTGAACACACAAAGGCACTTAATAAATACTCGCTTGATGAATGAGGATGAGCCCCAGACAATGGGGGTGGGTGCACTGGCAGGCAGAAGAGGGGCACTAAGGGCCATGGGGAATAAAATCAGGCCAGGGGCCCTGAGACCCAGGCATCCTGGCCCCCAGCCTGCCCCCTGCCCGGCCACACCTGTCAGGTCAGGAGAGAGACAGCAGAGGGGAGGGGGGGAGGGCGAACAGACGGGCATTTGTGCCGGCGAACAATAGCTACCAGGACTCCCTGCCCTCCTGGCACAGGGCAGGCCGGCTGGCTTGGGAGGGGGCAGCTGCTGCCGGCACCCCTCCCCCAGGAGACACAAACAAACCCAGAAGGGTCCAGGCAGCTCCTCTCGTCCATTTCTCTTACCAGCTCCAGGCGCCCTGACCAATCTGCTTGCTCAGGCTCCTAGTCAGCCCTCAAACCAGACACGGAAGCTAAACATGGAACTACTTCCAGAAAGCACGAGCCCCTAATCTGGTGACCACCACTCAGAACAGTGACCCGGAGCATCTGGGGACAGACAGACACACATACCGGACACAGGTCCCACGCGTGCATGGGAGTCACACATTCACATCTGTCCCCTCCCGGATCCAAGGTCGGTTCCAGGCCCCTCTCTCAATCCTCTGCTGAGCCCAGTCGGCCCTTCCCCAGACATGAGCAACCCCCTGCAGCACTCAGTGACCTGCCCCCCTCAGCTCCGTCCCAAACCTCCATGGCCCCCAGCATCTCTTCCTGTGCCCCTACAAGCTTCAACCTCCTAGGGACCCCCAGTTCCTGCAAAACTTCCTGGCAAACTGCTAGGCCTGCCAACCCCTCCCTGCTCGCCCACCCCTCCTCTCCGGCTCCGCTCCTCTCCCAGTCTGTCCTGCACACAAAGCCAGCCACCTCTCCTTACTCAGAACAAAGAAATCGCCTCTCCCTCTCTCCCACTCCACCTGCCCCACACACTCCAGGGTCGGGGTCCTGGAGACTCCACGGGGACCCCAGCCTCTGGAGCCATCCTGGAGGTGCCCGCTAACCCTGCTCCTAGACAGGAAAGGACCCTTTGTTCTGAGAGATGTGAAGGTTAGGATCTGCGGGAGGGGGGGAAGAGCCGGGGGCCAGAGGGAAAGGGGCCTGTGGGGTTTGGACCTGGGAAGGTAGGAAGCAGAGCAGAGAGAATGAGGAGTGGAGAGGAAG